TCTTCTTTCCAATCCAGGGTCGACAACTTCTCACCGGAAAAACATACTCTTGCCACATTGCTCAACGAGATAGATCCCACTTTCGTTGTTTTTTTGCCCTTGTTTCACTCAGCCGGCATTTACAGACTGTGCGACTTTTACGACTTTGGCACTTCCGATACTATGCACGCAGCGCTCGAAGGCCTCCGAACTCTCGATCTCACTCGTCGACTATCACAACTCCGAGTTCTGGAAACACCTCCGTTGTCCTCTGCAGAATACTCAACCACGTCCGATGGCTTGCAATCGAGCCCATCGACATCTCGGAGCTCAATTTTCGCTTGGTCAATGCAACACATCCTGTATCAAATTCGACTCGAAGAGCCGTGCTCGCGGGAATGGCCATAGGCGTTGTATGTCGGCTGCCCAGAGTCACGCATCAAGAGCATTAGTCTACGAAACCATCCACGAAGAGTTAGCCAGCCCAGCTACCTTTAGCATTCGAACTGCCGAAGAACCACGAGGGGATGCAAGCTCTGTTGCAACACTCTGTACAGTCCACTTCAGTATGAACTTGGGCATCCTTGGGTGCGTTCAAGATCGTCTTCGAGGCCATCGCGTGCCCTTCCCGCGTCAAGTGCTTTCACAGAGTCACCGAACACTATCACGAACTCTCCTCGACCTTCTGGAGACAAGGAGAAGAACCGGGACCTGCTGACTGCGACGCGGCGCTGCGAAGTGAACTCACCGACCTCAGGTATGCCCAGCATCGTCTTGCCGCGGATATCAAGGATCTTACTACTGAAAGAGATGACCTTGTGACAATTTGCCGTCGCCGCGAGACTGAGGTAGCCAAGCTAGAGGATTGTGCCGCGCAAAGGGAGGAGCGTATTGGCCGGATGAAGAAATCACGCTTCGCCAACACGGCGTTGTCCTTGGTCTACTTTGTGGCGTCAAGCACGAGGATGAATCCAAGGGATTGCTACTTATGAAAGCTGAATCGGAGCTTTCTCGCACCAAAGCCCACGCACAACAGTTAGTTGTCCAACGAAAAGGTCTCATCCAAGCGAAGGTTGATGCGAAGGTCGACGACTCGGAGGAGGAGGAGGAGGATTCAGACGCTGTGATTGAGCTCTCTTCTGATCTTCCAGATGTGAGCATTGGGTAAACTGAGACTACCCTGAGTATTTTGTATTACTTGAGCATTCAAGCTCATCACGCGTCAATGTATGTCTGTGACGTTTGTGTGTGACTTTTGTGACAGACGCGTTTTGTTTACTCCACCAACGTGAGTAGGTTTTCCTCAGTGCTCATGTGGCCTCAAACGCTTTTATAGCGCGTATTCTAGCCTCCTCAATGCTCTCTTCTACGCCAGCCTCTTGTGGCCCGGTGCCAGTGTCCCTGCGTTGCGTGCCTCCTCGAGAGGCCGGCTCTGCCAAGCTCTCTGCGGGAAGGACTAGTAGGGACGGTTGGCGCGACGACAATCGCGTCCTGGAGAGCCAAAGGAGCGTACAGGTGTGTGCGTAAGAACCGCTGCAGTTCCGTACTTACTCGGGCTTCGTGGGCACAGGCCACGGGCGGTCTCAAGCGTAAACAAAGCTCTGACGTCTTGGCGCCTGCATACGAAAACGTGTACCAGGGCAATTGTCTTCTGGCTGATCTGCTGCCTCAGTACAAAGAGGAGCATGCGCAACACCGCGGTGGACTTGAGGCTTCAGCCCAACCTTACGAGGACGAGCCCTTGCACAACCCATACAACGATTTGCTGGCCCTGATTGGCCCACGTCGTTCGCTCAGGCTAGCCAACCTACCGCCTTCTCCTCGCGCATCAAGCTTGGACCTCCACGCACTCATCCATAAACGACCTCGCATTTCCAACAAGCCTAGCCCCGCCTCACACCCTGAACTTGAACTCAACGTTGAGACGACTTCGGCCTTGGACCACCTCCCGTCATCCCACCTTCCTGCCTCGCTCAAAGGGGCAGAAAGAGGGCCTCTTCCCAAGCGTAGTAAGAAGGATGATCGTTATCTCCTTCCAAAAAGCCGCGCCTTGATACAACCTGACGGCGACTGGAAACTTCTGAAGGCCTCGCCTTCACTGACGGAGTCAACGGCGGCGCCTACGTTCTCCACAGAGTGCATCAGCATCAACTGCAGATGACGGCCCAAGCGCGAGCGTCACTTCAGCGGCGAAGAGACGTAGAAGAGGTGCTGGCAGCAAACGCAACAGATCTCACCGTAGAGGCCCCAAAACTGAGGCAAGCGCGTCTAGAGAGGTGGCCAAACTTTGGTCAAGAGGACAGTGGCTGCAGTCCCAATCGTTCTCACTCTCCTCCGACTCCTCTGTAGCCTCCAGCGGGTTGCAGGGCGTTCCGCCACCTCTTTTGAGCAGGGCTCTGCTGTTGCAGCTCTGGCATTCAACTGAAGTCAAGGGAGAGGCGCTGCACAAGTATATTCGATTGTTTTATCCCTCCTACTATCATAAGGAAGACGTGTGAGTTAGGCAATCTTTCTGGTAACCATGTCTGAATTCTTTTAGCGTATCACAAGAACGCCCTACTTTTTATGTCGATCGATGCAACGACGTCATCTTCATGTATCGTTCCTCGCGTATCCCTTGGTTTTTGGAACAAGATTCAATGCAGCAAATTGAAGAGGCACACGACCTGTTGGTTGGCCGTGATCTGGAAGACCCCGCATTACGCGCTGAGTGTCAGGATGGTAGACGGGGGCCTCATATGGCAATAATAATCGGACATCACCGACAATCTGCAAAGGTATTCTTGTTGTCTGTAAACTGTTTGCATTGGCTGATGGACCAAAGGCCCCATTTCTCACTGAGTGGCATCGCCGGCATGAAGATAGGGTGTCCAGGTTCCTCTTGCTACCCATCATCCAGAGGCTTATGTGAGCCTGCCGTTTTCTGGCCCTGTCATAGTGCTAACTGTGGCTAGTGGGTTAGTCGAGGACGTGGTCACCAAGGTGTTTCCTGGTGTAGCTGCACGATTCAAAAAAGAATCTGCTTGGCATAAACGCCAGCACGGAATCAGTCCTCTCTTTGGACTCTTTTGGTGTTTCTGCTTAAATGCTTGGTTTCCTGGCCAATCTCGTATCTCCTGCGGGCCACATGCCGACAGCAAAAAACCAGATAGGAGTCTGCGTGCTGTTTATCTACGTGCTGGCCAACGGTGTGTGGGAGCGCGATTCTTGGAGCACTTGACTAAGCAACTTCCAGCTCATTTCAACGATGATCTCAGGACGTGGTTGGTTATTTGGGAAGAGGGCCTAGTGGTGCAGTTGCCTCCCTGGACACTGGCAGTTTACCCTTCCGCCCTGTTCTGGCATTTCAATATTGATGTGGATGGTAAGTTCGGTGCTTAATATTATTGTGGGTGCTAGCTTAAATATCTTCAGGCATCAAGTTCGTCACCACTCAAGGAGATGTCCGTCCCACTCCGGAAAACTCCAAGCCTCTGTCCGATGGCGACGAATGTGGACGTGAGAGCATGGTTTTCTTCAACCAAGCCTCCATGAGCACAGGCCCTTTACTGGGGTTTGACACCATTGCAGAAGCAAAGAGGGCGGGTTTGTCTGGTCAAGTAGACATCGGTGAGACCATCAGCGAAGCCTTCACAAGGCTTGGTAATTACATCTCTATGGGCAGTAGAAACAGTGAATAGTCTCTATAAACCAGTTTGAATCCTGCTGCAGAACGCATCAATACCTCCAAGTCTGCATCCATGCTTATCAACCCAATTCCTCCTCAACAAGCCCTGCAGTCAAACCTCGTTGGCCGTCAAAGGTGGCCGACCATCATGCAGTTCGGGTGTGCTTGATTTTACAGGTTGATTCAAGAACTGCATCACCAGTTTTGTTCTCTGGTGCAGAAGAATATAACGCCCAAGACAGAGAATTTGACTGATCACGTGTTCATGTCGATGATTATCTTTACTCCGCTCCGTGAACGGGCAGTCCAAGCAACACACATTCTCCCACAATCTTCCAACCCCACCACAATTTGAAGAGACCAAAGGTTTGTTGCTGGCGCTCGCCAACATCTTATTTATCACTGCCAATTAGCTGCTCAAGGTGTAAACGCCTGTTGTAGTAGCGGTGTACTGGATGTCCCATCTCATTCTCCAGTCACCATGTATGTCTAAACTTGAAATTTTTGCAGATATACGGCTCCAAAAACTGACGGTGTCTCTTCTGAATCAAGCTGCGGAGCCTCAATCGCTTCCACCGTCAGCGCATTGACTGAACCTCCCGAGAGCGACGACGGAGGAGAAATGGAAACTCTTGTCATCGCCCAGGTGAACAAAGCTCGGAGAGAGGAGGTGGAGCTCGAGCTTGAGGTGGCAAGAAAGGGGGTCGTGGCAAGGGTCATGGGGCGGGGGCAAGTAGAAAGGGCAAGGAGCGTGAAGTCCAGGACTCCGAAACCGAGACCGAGAGCATCCCGCTGGCACCTCCACCACCACGGCCAAGACCTGTTCCTCGACGCCGAGTGGTCACTGACGAAGGCTGATTACTAGTGGCTAAAGTGAAGTTGGTACTAGATAGTGCGCTGCTAACCACATTGATCTGTAAAACGGACTTCCCAGTAACTCGAATTGAATTTGTGCATTCCAAATCGCATTCTTAATACGAGTTTCGCAAGTGTCTCGAGAGAGATAGAGCCGCAGAGCGCGTGCAGCGGCCATGACAATTGAAAACGCGTTTATGACAAAGCGCATGTGATCGATTTCGATGAAATCATTGCTTGTCAACGAACCACCACCACACGACAATGCTCTACGAGGACGTTGCAAGACGAAGCGGAAGTCTGGGGCTGTTCGGTTGCAAGGGAGAGAAGCACTAATGGGACCGTGGGGGGGGCAGAATAGAAGGCTGGACTGGGCGAGAACAAGCAGTGGGGCAACAAAGACTTTGCGCTAGTGTGGCCCGTCGGCAAGGCGTAAGTAGTCATCTTCCGCCGCTCAACGCTCTCTCATGCTTTTCAGGGAGCTAAGTTGGCTCATTCCATGAGCTCAAAACTCAGCGGTATGCATCCACGGTAAATGATTACAACCACTCTTTTCTGACTTTACCACCAGGCCCAGTCGTTAGCAGTCGTTGGTATCGACTTGGGAATCACCAACTCTTGTGTTTCTGTCATGGAAGGCAAGATGTCTCGTGAGAACTCGAAGCGCCCGCACATCACCCTCTCTCTGTTGCCTTTGCTGATCATGGTGAGCGACTGTTGGTCTCCCCGGCGAAAAGCCGTGGTCAATGCGACGAACACCGTCTTCAATCGCCTTATGGGAGGCAGTTCAATGACAAGGCGGTTACCGACAACCGCAAACACTGGCGTGTTCGTCAATCTATTTTTCTTGCCTTAGTGACTCTGTTTGTTGGCTATTTGCCATCGTCAGCAAGGGTGGCGGCAGGCCAGCTGTTCAGGTTGAATACGATGGAGGGAAGAAAACTTTCGTATGTTCTTCTTCCAAATTTGATGGCTTCAAGCTGCTGAGTCGACAGTCAGCAGAGGAACTTTCTTCCATGGTGTTAACCAAAATGAAGGAAACGGCGGAGCAATACCTGAAGCAGAAAGTCGACCACGCTGTCATCACAGTCCCAACCTATTTCAACGACGCTCAACGGCAAGCTACTAAGGATGCTGGGCAAATTGCTGGACTGAATGTCCTTCGTGTCATTAACGAACTCACGGCGGCTGCTCTCGCCTACGGACTGGACAAAGGCAGCAAAGCTAGAATCGTCGCTGTCTACGATCTTGGTGGTGGAACTTTCGATATATCCAATCTCGAAATGCGCGACGGCGTCTACGAAGTCGAGTCCGCCAACCATTACAACTTGGTGGTGAAGACCTCGACATTCTCCTCGTTGACCACATCCTCAAGGAATTTAAATCCAAGCACGGTATTGATCTCAATGGCCATCCAAATACTGCTTCAAATCTTTTGCGCGCCGTCCAGCACGTTTCCCTGTTCATCTCCACCAAGGACAACACTTCGTGCGTGTTTTATGCCTACACTTTGAAAGATCTAATGTGTGCTCTCAAATCTAGCGGGCCTCGCATTGCGTGGATCACAATATGTTCTAAACTAAAGGAGTCCATAACGGCTGCTCGCACTTTCAATTCCCAAGCTCGCGACACGTGAATCTGCTGCTATCTCGGCTACCCCCAATGTGGCGAGCAGCGGGCTTCCCTGCTCACCTCCACGAAGTCGGGGTTGTGTTGCTGCCCAATCCGGTCATCGTGGACGCCGACGAGCCCAGTGACTGGTTTATGGCAGATTATGCAGTGGATCGACGACATCTGAGTTCGCATACTTGGACTGTCCCCTCAGACTTTCCTCGTTGATTTACCAACTGGACGACGCGTTTTCGGGAAAGGCCATCACTTCAGAGCAACATTATCAGCATGCCATCAAGGCATCGGAACTCTTCGAAGAGCGGAAGTTTTCGAAGAGCGGAACTCGTTATGGTCTATATAAACAGGCAGACCGAGCGCCTACGTTATAGAACTTATCGTCCCAACTGAATCGCCCACTTCAAACATGACGCCCAGCGTCACTTCACCTCCCACACCCGCAACAAACGAAGCTTTGACAATGATCGACATCCTTGGGGTCATCTTCGAAGCCTGTCTTGCCTTGAACTTTTCTGTCGAATGGCACAACGACGTTCGGCAAAAGATGGCTCTTGGGGCGGTGTGCAGGTGTTGGAAATTCACCTTGGAGTCACTTCCCGCCTTGTGGTCGCACATAATTCTGGTCCCGCGAATGCCTCAGTATTACATCGACAAGGTTTTTCGACTTGCCAAGCAAGCTCCAAACGTTTGCGCATCGACCTTGACCTGGACTCGGAATTGGATACCATGTTTTTGTCTTCGATTGCCGCTCTGCTGGTTGCCAAAGCGGAGACAGTCACTCATATCTCCGTTCAATATATTTCCTATTCCGCCTGGAACACATTTGTCGACCATTTATCAGCGGCCAGTCCTCAACCCCGCTTTCTCTCGCTCAGATCCTTCTATGCGACTTCTTCACCCCGCCCTCAAAGCCAACTCGGAGATACCGTCCCACATTCGTTTCCGGATCTCGCAACAAACCTCCAAGACCTTTATCTTGACGGATTGCCTCCGTCGTCGTTTGTCGTTGGTGCCAACCTGATATCGTTGTCTCTAACAAACCTTTACTTGGCCGAGGACGATACGGCTTCTTTCACTTTCACGACGACATTGTTGGACTCTCTTCGCCAAACTCCCCATCTCGAAACACTTTTCATTGATGTGGATGAGTCCTTCACATACCAGCCTGTGCCCCACAAACCAGTCGTTCTGCCATGCCTACACACCCTATCCTTTCTTTGCAACATGCCCTTTCCACATCACTGTGGTTTCCTGCTTTCCCTAGTCCACCTTCCGAAACTACACAGTCTCTCACTGCATCTGGTCAGTGTGCAGAACGTGAACAATTTCATCTCGGTGAACGGGACCCACCTTTCGACCATTGCTGTGCTGCGTCTCATCGGCGATATTTCGGTCTATATTGAGCTAGCTGATGGTCCAGCAAAGCTCTTGTCTTCGTTGACAGGGAGCAGGCTCCGTCATCTGGACTTTCTCGATGTTGACGGACTATTTACGTACGATAAAGCACATAACGTCTTTGTCCAAACGCAATTCCTCGAAATTCTACGGCATACACTTTCTTCTTCCGAATGTTCGCCTTGTGGCCATACCGCCGTTATTCTCGCCCCCCACGTCCAGCCTCGCATGCAAGCTTGATCAGGTCTTTGTTGGAGCCTCTTCCGGTACACGGCGAACCTAAACGCATCTTTGAATCCCATGTATTGTGTCTCGGTATGCGCGGCAAACATTCAAATTGTGGTCGTATGTGGTCATGGGACTATTGTGGGCTTAGCTGGGAACCCACAGCGAGTCATTATCGACCTGCTCTCCTGCCCATCTTTTATCTTTCGACTTTATCTTAGATGGACCTCACATCCAGCGAGATGTCTGCCAAGAAATGTTTCCATAGCTTAATCAAATGTCATCAATTCACTTCCTTGTCTCATTTGCTCCATGCACTTTCGGTGACATCCAGTCTGAATCCGAGAACTTAACATAAGACCGCGTGTTTCCTTGTCGGGACCTTCACCGGGAATATACGTTCTTTTCGTTTTTTTTTCAATTTTTCACCGAGCGCAATAGGTTTTCGACGCGAAGAGGGAGATGACGAGTTACAAGTGAAGCATCAAGTGTCCGTGTCCTACCAGAGCTTGTCAGCAGAAAAAGCGAGGGCACTTCGGCTGAGAAGCATCGAGAAAATTGGTCGAGACGGCGGACCACGCACTTCGAAGGTGCAGATGGCGCAGATGGAAGATAATGCCCGAGATAATTGAGATAGCTGTCTTCTCGGTGGGGAAGCCCTGAAAAGGCGCCAGGGCCCGAGATATCGCTGCTAAGCCTAGATAAGTGCAAAGGCGCCATGGTGGTAGAGAATTGGCTCCCATGTCCCAATCATTTGGAAGTTTGGCATTCATGCATCGCGAAATTTTCTCTCTCTCTCTCTCTGGAGACACAGAAACGTTTAACGACTAATGTTCGACCACAAATACTTGACATGACTTGACGTATTCGTTCATGATATAATTTTTCGACCTTCTACTGAGTTCCGACCGGCGCGCTCAAAGCCCTTCAAGATGAGATAGCGGTAATATGCTTCAATACTCATCCTCCCACTCTCTCCTCTTGCGCTTGCGCAGCGTATCAAGCTTCTTAATGGTAAAGTTTCGCGACAACAACGGGGGGAGTTCTGCAGGCCAAGGTGTTTCCAGAGGCTGACAGAGACATTTAGCCATTGAAGGTAGAAACCGGCAACACTCACGAGGAAAATCAGGCAACTTCTGGGCAACTTCCAAGTAGCGACCCGCATGATTCGGGAGATGAATCGACCCGCCAGTGTGCCCCACAGCTCGTCCAGCACATTGGCGCGCACCGAACGCGGTAGCTGGAAGTGCTTATCAATGAGGCTGACGTATTATCGTATCATCATCAATGGTGTGACATTTGGGTCGGAGTCATGGATTGTTCTTGCTCGATTTCTTCCTATTCCTTCTTGACGCAAGGCATCCATACTCTGTTTCAAGTGAGTGAATGGTACGTCTGTTTATATCTCAAGGAAGAGTTTTTGTCTAATTTTGGGGGTCAGACACATACATCCTTCGAGTCACTTCTCGAACATCACCTCTGCCTCAACAACCGACCTCCCATGTCTCCATATACCGATGTTAAACCAGCCTGTTTGTCTGACCCAAGGCAGCTCGTCTTCTTTGACTACAACTCACCTCTGCCGTTCTACTATCCAACCTCTCCCATGCTTTACCAGCCCCGGGCCCCGTCACGCATGCTTTCATCGCAACTGCCTTCAACGCCGGTTACAATGACGGAGAAGAAGATTGAGATGCAGGTATACGCCTGACACCACTGATATTGTCTTGCGTTATTGACAATGTCAAATGTAGCACAACTTGCGACAACAGCTCGCCTCGCGCAATATGATGTTTCCGCCGCTGTCTCCCATGAGTTATCCGCCTCAGCTAGATTGTGGGCACCAAATGCTCAATATGCCAGTGTACGGTGGTGGGCCTGGGTTTGGTATGATGGCGCGCGGAAATCGCCGATTCGAAAGCCAAACACTCTCGATGCTGGACGAGTTTTGTGCGGCAAAGGGCAAGAAACGGGAGCTCAATGACCTCAAAGGTCATATCGTCGAATTCAGCAGCGATCAACATGGGTCACGTTTCATTCAAACCGAGCTCAATGACGCCACAAGTGAAAAAAATCCAAAGTGTATTCGATGAAATCGTCCCCGACAATACCTTACACCTAATTCAAGATGTTTTCGGTAATCATGTGGGTAGCTTCAGCTTTGGTCCTCTTCGTCTTGCAAATGTGCTCGCCACAGGTAATACAGAAACTACTAGAGCATGGTACTCAGGTCCACAAAGACGCCCTTGTTGGTGCCATGGAAGGCCATATCATCTACCTCTCGTCCCACGTCTATGGCTGCCGCGTCGTGCAAAAAAGTCAGTTCGCGAATAACTTCAATCAGCTCAACACCTAGCTAACGACAGTGACAGGCTTTTGAATGTGTAACTCCAGAGCAGCAAGCCAAGTTTGTCCAAGAACTTGAGCCCCATATTCTCAGATGTGTCAAAGACTCGAACGGGAGCCATGTAGGTGATCTAACTGGAGAATCCACATGACAAATTCGCAATCAAGGTCATTCAGAAGGTCATCGAGCGAGTTTCTCCCGACCGACTTGGTTTCATCTCAACCTTTATCGGCCACGCCTATGAGCTTGCTTCTCATCCATTCGGCTGTCGTGTCTTGCAACAATGTCTTCGTCACCTTCCCGAACCATACACCCGGCCACTTCTCGATGAACTACTCAAAGGTCATACGTCCAATCTCATGCAAGATCAATTTGGGGTCAGTGCTGGTACTTGCCTTTCTTTTTCCTCTTAGCTTATTTGGTTGGTTGTAGAACTATGTCGTCCAGTCCATCCTGGAAAACGGATTGCCCCGCGACCGATCATCCATCATTACTCAGCTTCGTGGGCGCATGCTATCAATGGCTCGCCAGAAGTTCGCCTCCAATGTCTGTGAAAAGGCAATGATATTTGGCGACTCAGACGGTCGCAAGGCGATAATTGAAGAGCTGATGGGACCAGCTGTGCGATCTGATGGCCCGACGCCAATTGGGTTGCTCATGAAGGATCAATACGGCAGTGAGTTTTCCAATTAAGAAGACCGCGATAAACCCTTCTCATTCGCGATTCAGATTATGTTCTCCAACGAGCGCTTGCCGTAGCGGAAGGCGAGCAGAAAGAGGCCCTCATCAATGTCATTCGTCCCCAACTAGCTACTATACGCAGGCATGCGACCGCTTACAGCAAACGTCTTACCTCTAGTTCGTTTTTCTCCCAATTTTATGTTTTTTTTGATGCTAATCTTCTCTATAGTCGAACGGGAATTGCAGAAACACACACCCAAGCCCGATTGTGCATAATTCTTGCCTCAAGCAATACCTGGCTATATATAATCTCATCACACACTACTAATTCGTTCTTGCTGTGTATATTTTGTTTTTGTAGTCTCATCACTCGTAGCATACTTATTCAAGCAAATACTAATGGTCAATCTGCTGCAAGACTCTAAAACAGTCGCAGTTCCATACGAAAAAAGAAAACGCACCAAAAGTGGAGTGTCCCTGATCGGCCTGATCGTGCATCCGGGTTGCATTCTGCCCGTCTCTTCTCCCTTCTGTCATGCGCTGCCTCGATCTTTGGTGTCGAGAACCAGGACCCCAGCTTATTAATATGACCTTGACCTTGGGCTGTTCTCTGTGATTTCCGTGGAGTTTTGAAGTCGTACTCACTCCGAGGTTAACAACTCAGGATGTCACACATACTGGTATTAGATTGTATACGTGTAAGTCCACGATGTGGGAAAGAGTGAACAATAACAATCACATGAACCGCGAAGGAGAAAAAATGGCTAGACAAAGGAAAAGGAAGTTATGTGGTGTGCGTACTTGGAATGACTCGCTCTGGTTGCCTGTCGAAGTCCTTCGTAGTCCCAGGACCACAGGCGACCACAATTTGAATGCTCACCACCCGAAGCAGGGCACAATGCGTGTTCTTCGAAGATATATTTTACCCCACCCTGCATTGAAACGGGCTCCAATAAAGATTGGATCAAATTTTGATGGGATAATGGATACGGGGGCAAAAGTAACGGTGTTATGATCAAGAGACGAACAGCCGGTAGAGTAAGCGCATGCGCAAGGATCTCGAGAAACTGGGTTTGAACAAGGGCATTTCGTTCAGCTTCAAACGCAAACAGCCCCCTGAGCATCGAGAAAATCGAGATCCCGAAGCCTGCTGCTGGCCGTCAACGACGACAAAAGTTTTGCTTGACCACTGGCGACATCGATGTAAGCAGAAACATCCCCAATCAAACGCAGAACAGTGATGGTGGAAAGGTGAGTTTCATTGGCTGAAATGAAGTTGTTCGAATTTTCCACTGCGGTCAAGCCCAATGAAAGGGTGTGTAATGTCGGAAGGTGAACTAAGGAGAGCATCATGCCGCAAAGATGTGGAAATGGCAGAGTGCAGCGAAATGATAAGGTGCTCAGGCGGGGAAGAACAACTCGGTGGTGCGAAATAGACTGGGCAAAGAATGGCTCATTGACATCGAGGAGGAGAGTTTCGAGGCGGGGTGTGTGATGAAGAGAGTCCAGTAGGTTTGTAGCAAAGGTGCTAGGCGGATCGTCTGCGGTCAGGTCCAAATTTGTGATAGCCAATGAAATCAGGTTGGAGCCAACTACGAACGAGGACGGGGGTAGGCCGTCGAGATGGAGATGCCGGAGATCGGCAGCATGCGCTCGAAATGGCTGTGGGCCACTGGGACCAATCGGAGGCCATAATCGGCAATGCGGTGTCGCGTAGAAAGATCTGAGTAAGGCGAAGTTTGGCGGAGGGTTGGCAGCTGCTTGTGATAAATGGTCGACGAATGTATCCCAAACGGAGTGAGAATAATACTCCACGCAGAGGTGAGTGACGGTCTCCGCTGTAGCGACCAAGGGAGCGGCAATCGAAGATAAGAATGTGGGGGCCAATTCCGAGTAGATATCGATGCGCAAACGTTTCGGAGTTGCCTTGGCAAGACGAAAAACTTTGTCGATGTAGTACTGAGGCATTCGCGGGACTAGAATTATGCACGACCACAAGGCGGGAATAGACTCCAAGGCGAGTTTCCAACACCTGCACACCGCTCCAAGAGCCATTTTTTGCCGAACGTCGTTCTGCCATTCCACGGAAATATCCAAGGTAAGACAGGCTTCGAAAATGACTCCAAGGATGTCGATCATTGTCAAAGCGGGTGCGGGATATGAAGTAACGCTAGGCGTCATGTTTGAAGTGGGCGATTCGGTTGAGACGATAAGTTCTATAACGTAGGCGCTCGGTCTGCCTGTTTATATGGACTATAGCGAGTTCCGCGCTTCGAAAACTTCCGCTCTTCGAAGAGTTCCGCTGTCTGGAGAGTTCCGATAGCATGATCATGCAATTTGCCATAGAGGCCCGAAGACGCGTCGGATAGTCGGTAAATCAGTGAGCAAAGTACGAGGGACAGTCTATGTGAAGTCAGATGTTGTTGTCGTTCATTGACTTAGCACTCACCCGGCCCAAACGATCATCCAACTTGCCAAAGGGCAAAGGCGTTCAACCTGTTTTGTTTGCGGACAATATTTTGGGAAGCAGCTTGGAGTAGATATAACAGCTGGGGCAAGGTGGTAGGTTTTCATGGAAGGGGGTGAAGCAAAGTGTAAAAAGACGGGCGAGGCGAGTTCGAGTACGAGCATCGACGGTGGCGTTAAGTCAAGACAGGAGGAGATTTTCGACAGACTGCGGATAGCATCTGGAGTAGATAGTGGTGTAGTGGTCGCAAGGCAAGTTGAGACAACAAATTATGTTTAATTTAAGTTGAAGGGGACGCGGACCCGCTCGGCTTCCTCAAGGCAAAAGAAAAACACTTTTGAGGTTTTGCTTTACCCTGCTACGGTCCTATTCGTTGCGATTCAAAGTGAATTTCTGGACCTCTAGCCATGGCTTTGGTTCGTGATTGCAAGCACCTGTGTTCTTTCGCCGAGACACCATCATCTGGCCTAGTTGCGGTCAATGGCCAAAAGGTGTCAAATCCGTCCATCCTGCTCGAAAGTGAACATGGAAACCCACTGTTCAACATTGAGCGGATGTCGATGTGGTCGGAAGGCGGCCCGTCACATATCGTGACATCACAATTCCAAGGCTTCGTGCAAACGCCCAAGGTCCAGAGCGCGACCCTCCAGCGGTTGTCGTTGGACGAACCAAGAGCGAACCCACGTTTGGTTCGTCACGGTTGCGCAGCAAGGCTTCGTCCTCTGACGTTAAATTCTCCCACAAGTAAGAGTTGTCCTTGTTGAATATCCGCCGTCGCTAATTCTGGCGTAGACGTTCTCGCAACACCTCAGTCTACTGCTACATCGTCTACTGATATCTCGGCCAGCATCTCTCCCAATGCGACGAACGGCGGGTTTCCCTGTTCACCCCCACCAAGGACAATACTTTGTGCGTGCTTAATTCTCCACTTTTAAATATCTAATGCACGCTATCAAATCCAGTGGGCCTCGCATTGCGTGGGTCACAATATGCTCTGAACTAATGGAGTCCATAACGACTGAGGATATTCTCGCGCTTTTAACCAATTCTTCACGGGTCTCTTTGCTAAAGTCCGGAGTGCGGCCCTCCAGCGGTTGTCGTTGGACGACCCAAGAGCGAACGCACCTTTGGTTCGTCACGGTTGCGCAGCAAGGCTTCGTCCTCTGATGCTAAATTCTCCCACAAGTAAGAGTTGTCCTTGTTGAATATCCGCCTTCGCTAATTCTGGCGTAGACGTTCTCGCAACACCTCAGTCTACTGCTACATCGTCTACTGATATCTCGGCCAGCATCTCTCCCAATGTGACGAACGGCGGGTTTCCCTGTTCACCCCCACCAAGGACAATACTTTGTGCGTGCTTAATTCTCCACTTTTAAATATCTAATGCACGCTATCAAATCCAGTGGGCCTCGCATTGCGTGGGTCACAATATGCTCTAAACTAATGGAGTCCATAACGACTGAGAATATTCTCGCGCTTTTAACCAATTCTTCACGGGTCTCTTTGCTAAAGTCCGGAGTGCGGCCCTCCAGCGGTTGTCGTTGGACGAACCACGAGCGAACCCACGTTTGGTTCGTCACGGTTGCGCAGCAAGGCTTCGTCCTCTGATGCTAAATTCTCACCCAAGTAAGAGTTGTCCTTGTTGAATATCCGCCTTCGCTAATTCTGGCGTAGACGTTCTCGCAACACCTCAGTCTACTGCTACATCGTCTACTGATATCTCGGCCAGCATCTCTCCCAATGCGACGAACGGCGGGTTTCCCTGTTCACCCCCACCAAGGACAATACTTCGTGCGTGCTTAATTCTCCATAAACATCTAATGCGCGCTCTCAAATCCAGCGGGCCTCGCGTTGAACAAACATTCAATGTGCTCTGAACTAATGGAGTCCATAACGACTACTCGCGCTGTCAATTCCCAAGCTCGCGACACGTCAATCTGCTGCTATCTCGGCTACCCCCAATGTGGCGAGCAGCGGGCTTCCCTGCTCACCTTCAAGTTGGAGAATTTCACGCAAGCATCGACCCTTGAATTGATTATCGATTCCGCGTCTGCCTCCGTTCCTTGCCGTTACCTGTCTGATGGTAAAGAGAAAGAACAAAACTCGAGCGGAATCGGAACCCTGAGAGCTTAATTCTGGCCAATGGCATCGACTTCTGCCGCCTCGGGAAGGCGGCCCGTCACATATCGTGACATCACAATTCCAAGTCTCGTGCAAACGCCCAAGGTCCAGAGCGCGACCCTCCAGCGGTTGTCGTTGGACGACCCAAGAGCGAACGCACCTTTGGTTCGTCACGGTTGCGCAGCAAGGCTTCGTCCTCTGACGTTAAATTCTCCCACAAGTAAGAGTTGTCCTTGTTGAATATCCGCCTTCGCTAATTCTGGCGTAGACGTTCTCGCAACACCTCAGTCTACTGCTACATCGTCTACTGATATCTCGGCCAGCATCTCTCCCAATGCGACGAACGGCGGGTTTCCCTGTTCACCCCCACCAAGGACAATACTTTGTGCGTGCTTAATTCTCCACTTTTAAACATCTAATGCGCGCTCTCAAATCCAGCGGGCCTCGCGTTGAACAAACATTCAATGTGCTCTGAACTAATGGAGTCCATAACGACTACTCGCGCTGTCAATTCCCAAGCTCGCGACACGTCAATCTGCTGCTATCTCGGCTACCCCCAATGTGGCGAGCAGCGGGCTTCCCTGCTCACCTTCAAGTTGGAGAATTTCACGCAAGCATCGACCCTTGAATTGATTATCGATTCCGCGTCTGCCTCCGTTCCTTGCCGTTACCTGTCTGATGGTAAAGA